AATAAAAGGTTATTTTTTTATATGTCGTTTATATATTTTATTAAATTAACATTAATGCTTCACTATATTTCGATATGGCTCTGTTTAACGTTAACGAATCATATAAAGTTGTTGCCGTAATGACTTGTAGCCAAACATGCTGCTGTTGCAATGAGAAGTTATTTGCGAAATTGCTAAGCGGACGGCTGGAGGCAAGTTTCAAACGCCAAGTATTGGATGATAAATTTTTAGGTAATTGCCGTTTTTTCTTGGAGTCATAATGGAAATCGGAGAAAGAGATAGCTCAAGCACCAATCGCAATCTTTATTTCAATTGATTCACAAGCTAATTACATTGAAGGAGGCGCTTGAGAACGGCCTTAACCTCTCAAGGTAACAGTAGTCAACCATTATACTGTATTTGTTTAATTTCTTTCACGCTGCTAATAAGGTCAGGGATTTTACCCGATATAGGGTCGTTTAAAGTAGGGTAAAAATGCCGGGAAGGTAATTTTACATATATTCCTCTTATGTCAGCACCAAACTAACCTTAATCCTAACCTTAATTTTAATTAAAATGATTAAATCGTCAAAATCACGTCTTTAGCCATCCCCGATATAGAATTTGAGCTGCAATATATTAAAAGGTTACTATAAACCCGATTTCTATTTAAAAAAAAAACCAATTTTTTATTATTTAAAAAAATCTGGGTTAAAAAAATATTCTTGCGAAAGTTATTCTAAATTGAAATTCCTGAGGCTTTAAAAGACGGTTGTGCACCAAATAACAACACAGCCAATGATTGGTGCAAATTTGTCCTATAGAATCACAAAGAATTTTCCAATTGCAAAAATCCCCAAATTATTTTATACATTATGTAATTGACATTTTTATTGTTCTTATTGTACTGATTATCGTATGTATTGTGATATTGCATTTTTAAATTAAAGCATAGTGTGACATATAATATAAGAGCCAAGACAAACATTTTAAATGTTATAATAATTTAGAAATAAAAATCTATCTGACTTCTCCATGTTATATTATTGTATAATCAGATTAAATGAATCTTTAATGTTCCATATTATAACCGTAAATGAATTGATATTGTAAGTAAGAATATAAAAATTTTTGAATATGCACATAAAAAAATTTGTTCAAGTTAATATAACAATTAAATAATTGCAACTAACAATTAATTTCTGTTAATATCAGGAGATCCATTTTCAATATCGATAGATTTAACATGATTATTACTATGATTAAGGGTTGCCGAAGAAGCTTTACTACCATCTATGAATTGTTCATGAGATGAGGAAGAATTGGAGCTTCCATAACGACTCCAACCTTCATTTATTACATAAAATATAGCGTTTCCAATGCTCTACGAAATGAAAAATAATAACAATAAATAAATAGGGAATATGAATGAATTAATTATAGTATTCAGTATTAATGAGATAAATAGAAATTACTTACACCTGAATTAACAGATGCAATAACCATGCAATAAACCCAAGGAGCGGCGCGTCCGTTAAATTGATATATATCATACGGTATGGCAGGAATCTTTAAAAATCATAAATATTCAGATAACTGTAATACTGTAATAAGGAACCAATTTATTAAATCAAAAAATAAAATAAAAAATGACTTACCCATTGTAATATAAAAACAAGTATATAACCCAAAACTTTTATAGATACTTTAAGTTCAACACTATCTATAGGCATCCTTAAGGTAACTCTTTTACCGGTTACACCTCTATTTTCAATAATTTGCGATTGTTGTCGTTTAATGGTACGGATTGCTTGAATGGTTCGAATATAACAGAACGAGCATATAGAGAGTACAATGACAGTCATAAAAATAGAAAATATCGGAATAGCTATTGTATTTGGTATTGCAGCGCACCTATTAAAATTGAGGTTTTTAAAGTTGACATTAATAATTCATGGATGGGCTAGGGAGTAATACAGTATAAATAATGGAACTAATTATAGAAATAATTACAAAATAATTTTATATAGAAATAATTGAACTAAAACAATAAACGGTGTAGGATTCATACCAATATATAACGGGAG